CACACACACACACACACACACACACACACACACACACACACACACACACACACACACACACACACACAGAGTTTGTGTGGCTGCTCAGAGGTACAAGCTGCCTTGTGTGCCCCGGTCATACAACTCCATTCATTCCCTGTGGAGTGTTGAAATACTAACACACGCTCAGGGGTATAAAGTTTCAGCTGGCGAGTGCTGATGCTCGCCACTATTGTGCGCTGGAGTGTCTCTGGGTGTGAAGTGGTTAAAGCCGGTGGTATCTAATCTGTGTTTTCATCCCCAGGGTGGACAAGGACCGGAGTGGAGTGATATCAGACTCAGAGCTTCAGCAGGCCTTATCAAATGGTAAGTATCAGAGTTTCTCTCAGAATTTTGCCACTCCCATTTTTCTTACTTTCTCCTTCTTTTCCTTTTTTTTTTTTTTGACCGTTTTTGCTCTGTTCCCATCTGTCTTTCCTGCTTTCAGTCTCCTTCCTTCTACACCTTTTTTCTCATTTTTCTCTCTGCTTCTTTTTTGATCCCTCCCATCTCTTTCCCATCTCCTTTTTTTTTTTTACACATTGTTCTCCGCCACTCTTTGATTTAAGCAACTGCTGAGTCTAAGCAGAAAGTGAATTGGAATTGTATTTTTATCCCTGGGTGACAGGTGAATTGAATAAAAGTGAACGCGGTTTTATTTTTGTCCCGGGACAACAGAGAAGCTGGTGAGAAGTTTATCAGTGTAGCTTCAAGGAACCCACTTTGATACACTTCAGTGCCTCTGCAGTGACAACCAACTCACTGCAGGACTGGTTAATGGTTGGAAATTGTAGGTGTGTTACAGTAAATAGCTTTCCAATCAGTGTCACAAAGACCAGTTTCTTAAGGTTCCAGACAGAGTGTGAAGTTTGAGGCTTGCACATGTCATTGCAGTGTGTATGGGGCTACAGTAAGAACCACATGTTTAAAAACTTGAGTGGTGGCTTTTTTGTGGTTGTAATGTTTTCTGTGACAAAGTACAACCACAAAAGTGCAAAGGATTGCTTGCAGAATGTTAGGTATGTACTAACATAAGCTCCAAACATTATGTCTGTTTAACTAGCTTACTGCCTAATATAGTAAACCAGTGTAACCTTCAAGGCTTGGGCATTTCACACTACATTGTTTTCTGGGGATTACTGTTTTCAAAAAAAATCCCTGTTCATGCCTAACTTGCTCCTATGGCAGAATGTGTATTTTCATCCTTTATTGCCTTTTCACGATTCAGATAAACAGAATTATGCAACAGAAGCTTGTATAATGAAATTACACATGTAGTCCCTGCTACATGCAAAAAAAATGACATCAAGAATTTATAATCAAGCCATAAAAATAAAACGGTTGTCATGGTGAAGGGTGGAGGATGAGTTCAGTCATCTCACAGCCTGAGGAAAGAAGCTGCTTCGAAAGAACTCCTTCGAACACGCTGGGGCCGGGGTGGGTTTTGTTGTGCTGTTTGCAGACATGTTGTCTCACTGATGTTCAATGGATTGTTCTGGTGTTCTTCAATCACCCGCTGCAGAGTCTTCCCCGTCTTGGACTGTGCACATCTCCGTTTGGGATCTTTCCAATTAGGATGTGCTCTATTGCTCCTCTGTGAAAGTTAATGAGAAGTTGGCATGGGAATTTCTCAGGTTTCCTTCACCCTCTCCTCTTGTAACATTGAAGGTGAAACACAGCGTTGAAAATGGGACCAACAAAGCATAAATCAGACTTTGTTGTCTAATGTTTTCTAAATCGCTGAAAAGGGTTATGGAAGACTGACATATGAGTCCGATCTTAATTTATCAGGCTTGTAGTACAAGGATTAAAGCATGCTGCACTTTCATGACTTCTGTTTGGTTCATCCGTAGGTGACGATGATGACATTTGACCACATGATTAGCGTCAATCTTTAAGCATAACATCATTTATGTGACCATCAGGTGCTTATTTATTTAAATCCTTTCATGGGTGAACAGTCATTAAGCATTTAATCCAAGCAGTAGACTGTTGGTAATACAGAATCTGATTGAAGATGGAGAAGAAATATCTCTAAAATCAGCATTAAAAAGGAATCAGGGTTGCAACATGAGGATTACAGCTGCTTGTGATGGAAGCACAGTCACTCTTGATCAGGAGGAGGAGGAGGCTTCAAACAGGATTAAGGGTTCATTTCCCGCTGGGTCTCCTAAACAAAAAAAAAAAAAAAGAAAAGAAAAAAAAGGTATAATTGTGATGCTGCCAGGCATTTTGGAGAGCAGTGTTGAATAAATGATACTGGTCCTCTCCTCTGCTCAAATTCTGGCAAGTTGTACGCTTGCTTTGACTGAGAAGAGCTGCCACAGCAGGGGCAGGCTGATAAAATATCTGCTTCCATACCACACACACCACACTGCACCAGCATCGCTTCTTGACCTTGCTTGCAACAAGGCAGCGGCGTCGAAATGCGGTACTGATTAATGAGACGTATATTTTGGAGGGCCGTTTGCTCAGAAACTGTAGCACAGGTTGATGTTTTTCTTCTCATTAAAATATAATGTGTTCCCCCATCAAGTTTATGCTTGAATTGCACCAGCAGCTTTTTTTTCAAAGACTTTTGAACAGATTACACTCCCCAGAAACCCATTTTTCTGGGCACTTCAAAGGAGAAGGGAGAGAGGAAAAAAAGTGTTGAAGCCAGCAGCAGCAGTGAAAGAAGCTGTTATCAGGCTGCGCAGTGGCTCTGGCTCAGCATACTGATTAGTGTGTGAGTGTGTTTCAGCATGCATGCATAGACACATGTATTTATCAAGAGGATGTGTGTGTTGTGCAATTCATCAGATTTTTTTTTTTTTTTTACCATGAGCTAGTGTGTTTTTTTTATTTTTATTTTTAGACTTGGCTCGTGTGTACGTTCTTGCAGTGTCGTGTACATGCGCGCCGTGCTGCATGTGCGTGTGGTGAGCTGCAGGTTTCCCGGTCCAGTTACTGCCAGTTCATTAGGCTCATTGCGATATGAAACAGAGCCAGTGAAGCCAAACGCACACCGCACCGCATCCTGTCCTGCAGTTTGCTTGCCGAAGCCACCAACCCCGTCACTGTTGGACTGTCTGTCGTGACTCTGCTAACCCTGCATGTGCTGCTTTTATTTACATCAACATTGACCAAGCTTTGTCTGCCATGTCAGTGTTGTCCATCTTAATCTTTTTTTCTTTATCGCCTACCTATCTTTACTCTTCTCCTTTCTTTTTACCCTCCTGTCTCAGAAGTGCAGAGTATTAAGGCTCTGGAGCAGGGGTGTCCAATCCTGGTCCTCGAGGGCCACAATCCTGCATCTTTTAGATGTTTCCCTCTTCCAACACACCTGATTCAAATGATCGGGGTTGTTATCAGGCTTCTGTAGAGCTTGATGGTGAGCTGATCATTTGAATCAGGTGTGATGGAAGAGGGAAATATCTAAAATATGCAGGATTGTGGCCCTCGAGGACCAGGATTGGACACCCCTGCTCTAGATATTCAGAAAGGGCTTGTTGGGGGGCTTTGCTCTTGCTGTTTACTCTTCCATCCTCTGCATACTCTTTCTTCTTCTTATCTCTCCTTTCATTCCTCTGCCTACCTTTCTTTATGCACATCTAAAATCAGATTTTAGCAAGTCCTGTTCACTTTGTGATCTTTTTTCTCAGAGTGAAACACAGCACAATATTTTCAGTCATTTCTACCCCAGAGTCTCAGTTTTTTCCTCATGTTTTGATGCTCACTGTGGAAATGATGTCACTTTTCCTACAGTTACAAACCACATTATAAGCACTACAGATAATTTATGGAGTGCAAGAAGAGTCTGGAACACACTACTTTACTCCCAGCCCTTTCACTGTGCAAACGTTTCAACACTACTGTGTCTTCACCAGATATTAGGCAAACAGTTATTTTCGAACAAAACCATTGGATAACTAGTTGAACAGGATGTCAGATCTATTGGATAAGAAATCCGAGGGTGGGAGTTGCTATAGTCCAAGTGCCACACCTCCAACACCTTGCCAGCTGCACAGGTGTACGGGCATGTGTTAAAGTTACAGAGACAGAAGTACAGGAAGCATCTGGCAAATTAGGCAATCAAGAATGTGAAATCAGAAACAAAACATCTAAAAGTTACAACAGTACAGGTAAAGGTACAAAAGTATGTGTTAACTCTGGCAGCTTAGATGAAACATGACAAATTCAACTCTAGCAGGTCTGGCAGATAATTTATGCTACAAGTGACTAATAGGTGACTCACTGCACTAAAAGAATGTGTTGAACTGATTGTATGAACTCCTCTCCTCTCCTCTCCTCTCCTCTCCTCTCCTATTTCATCCTTTCCTCAGGAGGATATGGCACCGGCTCTGTGCCTTCTGTGTCCTCTGCCTGTTTGTCCTCTCTTACTCTAACTTTCCCTCTTTATCACTCATCCATGCTCCACACTTAGTCCCACTGTTCTCCCCTATCTCTCTCTCTCTCTCTCGCTCTCTCGCTCTCTCCTCCTCTCCTCCTCTCGATTCGTCCCTCGGTCCTGGGTGTGACAGTGTATCATCCCTGATGAGACTGTGATTGGCTCTGTGCCGTCGAGGTGCATGTGCATGTCTATGCCTATGCCATTTGCTATAAATATGGATTTTTTTGGCCTTCCTTCGCTCAGCAGTGAGCAGATATCATACCAACTTGCCATCATGCTCCCCTACTCTCATGCAAGCACTGATTTATGCTCATGTGTAGTTATTTATTTAAATGTGTTGAAGACGCAGTAAAATAGTGAAATTGCTGACTTGCAGAACTTGAGGAGCTCATTCAGGAATCTTTACCTTGTACGTTTGCAGTGTTCTGTTGAACTCTGTTGCCCAGACATTGTGTTAGAGTGACACTTATTTTTACAAGTCAGTGTTAAGCTTTTCAGTACTTTTCCACCAGTTGTTGATCATCAGTCGTGGTCAGCCATTTGTTACTGGCTCATGTGCTGATTATGTTAGACGTACTAATTTTTAGCTGACGGTCTAAGGCACGACAGCTGATTGTTCCTGGATTTCTTGAGCTCCTTGTTGTGGGTTCTACAAATCATGTCTATTGACTGGCGTAAACCACAGAAATAAATAGCACTGACTGACCCGTCGCCTTATGGCTACCCCTGTTGTTTTGTGCATCATGAGCATAACTGCAGGAATAATCACAATGATGGTAATATTTTTTGATATAGTTCCTATTTTGTTTTGTAGTTTATAGTAGAAATAAAACCGACGCCTTCATTTGAAATATGTGTTTTTTCCTTGTAAGGTCAAGCTTTTACCTCAGACAGGATGTAGTCTGTGTGTGTTTTTGGGTTCAAGTCTGTGTAG